AGTTCATTCCCATAGGAATAATTGTTTGCAATGAATACATAAAGACATTTTTGAGAATCTGGATAAGGGTCCTTTACTGCTATGTTCTTTAATTGTTTGGGGATTTTTCTACATTCTTTATATTGCGTTCCCGTTATTCTCTATTCTCTATATTTTAGGACACCATTATTCCCCATTCTCTTTTTTCTTTTGCCATTTTTTCAGTAGTATAGGCCTTTATTTTCCATTCTGTAAACCCAATCTTAACCTTTGTTTGTGAATAGTTTATAGATGATGCTTAAAAAGGTATAAAAAAAAAAGATAAACACAAATTAAAGTCGGCAAAAACTAATTTTACATATTGAATTCTGTAAACATAAGATATAAATATATCCTTGAGCTATACATACTTTTGACTAGAATAGAACAAATGACATCAACATGAAAATCATGTCATTTCAGTGACGTTTGTTAGTTTTCGTCACAAACTAAAATAGTCATTATAATTGACGTTATGAATACATATTTCTGCTATCATAAAATAAAAATATCCGAGACTATGATATGGAAGAGAAAACAGAAATAAAATTCCTCCCCAAAAGAGAAAAGATAAAAACAAAACAAAAAACAAACAACAAATGAAGCATCACGCTTTTAATTGACTGAATAGATGAACATATGTGTTTTAATAATAATCAGTTACTGCTCATTTTTCAGTCGTGTAGCTTAAGATATGTCCTGTTGAAAGTAAATGGTGCAATATTATATTTAAGATATTTGTGTTTAATCCCCTTGTCTTCGTCAAACATCAAACTTTGTAAGTATTATCGCAATCATTTCATTCAAATACTTCAGTTATAGTTGTATTTTCTTCATTCCATGAAATATTGGTTAAGTACATCTATGTAAAACTGAAAATACAGACGGGGAATGTGTCAAAGAGACAACAACCCGACCAAAAAGCAGAAAACGGACCAAGACCACTAATGAATCTTCAACACAGTGGGATAATCCCGCTCCCGAAGGCGATTTTCAGTGAAAATGGACGTCACACTAAACTCCGAAACATATAAATGAGCCAAAATTTAAAAAAACAGACGAGACTGACAAAGGCCAAAGGTTCCTGATTTGGCACAGGCACAAGCGGCGGGGTTAACCATGTTTTGTGAGATCTCAACCCTCTCCCTATACCTCTAGCTAATGTGGAATATACAAACACACAGCTATACGCACAGAAAAACTCTATTTAAAAGAAGTCCGAGTCCGATGTTAGAATAGGCAACAAAAGCAATTAAGCAAAATGACAATGATCAACATAAATAAAAAAAAAGACTACTAGCAGTTACTGACATGCCAGCTCCAAATCTCAATTAAACCGACTGAAAGATTAGGTCCATATCATATGAAAATCAAGAACAATCTCTTCCGTTAGGGGTTTAGTATCATACCATCATAAAATATACGAGAATAATATAACCCATATGTTTGTAACTACTGGAATATCTATCCAAAACACAGATTGAAATAATTTTTCAAACATTTATGTTTACATGTTACGATACGAAAATAACAATGTGTTATTTTTGAACGAAATCAATGTCAATTCTATAAGACTGTCATACAAGTGAGAGGTTTGGCTGACTATAAAACCAGGTTTAATCCACCATTTTCTACATAAGGAAATGCCTGTACCAAATCAGGAATATGACAGTTGTTTTCCATTCGTTTGATGTGTTTTAGCTTTTGATTTTGCCACTTGATAAGGTACTTTCCCTTGTAGTTCGGTATTTTTGTTATTTTACCTTTTGCACCATTTCCAGTACAGCATGAAGTGAATAGTCAACAAAGTGGACACATAGCTATAATTTAAAAACTCTTTTAATAATTACGGTATATAGAAATAAGCTAATCATTGATACCAGGATTAAAATGTTGTAGGCTAGACGCACATTTTGTCTAACAAAGAAAGAGTCTGCAGTCACCAGTTTAAGTTGTTTACTATTGAGTATTAATTGCGTTTCTCTTTCTAGCGAAAGTTTATTGGTCCATAGTCGAATAACGAAAATGCATTTAAAACAACATATAACTGTATAGTTTTGTTTTAAAATTTTACTCTATACATCTATACAGTTATACACTTTTTTCAACTACACATGTACCATGATTGTCTAGTTTATAAAACATTTGTTTGTCTATGCTACTTTACATTTTTATCAAAACCCGTCTTTGTAACTTTTTAATTATTCATTGTCAATTCTTTTAAACATAAAGATCTATTTAATTTCATAGCACACATTTTCTGTCTGTACATTTTCTAAAACGTTTGTCTAAGTAATATAAAATTGACATTTCAAGCTTATTATTAGCATATATTAGACAGCAATTTGTTAAATTTAAATCTCAGTGGTTTTATTTTTATTATTATTGTTGAATAGTGCGTATATGAGTTGATAGCATTAATTATATATTTACATATGAATAAAATGACAATAATTTGCAATCTTAGTTTAAATTTTTTTTTTTTTAATTGTTACAATTTTTGTTGAATGTTACACTATTTAATTGTTGATCAAATTCATGAAATTTTTGTTGAATTTTCATTTACTAATGCATTAAACCTCTTCTCATTTATTATTTTTCTAATTATTAACTACTTCTAAAAGTTTATTTTGAGGACTCGGTACTTATTGTGAAGCTGTTACATTGTCAAATTATCTCTTGTTTCTTATGTCACTCTTTAACATTTTATTTTTATTAACGAAGAGGATATAAATATTCAGACCAAAATGTTTATTACTACTCCAAATGTACAAAGCTTAATGGCTTATTTTTATTGTTATTATATTAGATTTATTAGACATTTTACACTTCGTACGTCCTAGTTACGCCTATAATATATCAACCAATCGATGAGTAGTTCTTTATAACGTAATATACACAAAATCATCACATAAACCCTGACGTCCTTACATTACTTTGTTGATTTTTATTCGAGTATCTTTTCTCATTGTCTTTGTATGATACGGTACATGTCAGATTGAAACAAACAACATCAGTAAATTTTAAATAATTATGTCTCTATCATCTGTGAATATAGTATTATATTATATTTGAAGAGGATGTATAAAAGTCTATTCCGTTATTCCCTCAACAAAATATTTAAATAATAATATTGTATTATTTTCTAAATGCCTGGTGCAGTAAAATTGCTACCGCCGTAAATGTTATTATGTCCAATTTTTTCCAAGTAATATTTGTTCTATCTGATTTATTCCAATTAGTCATAACTCTCTCTCTCTCTCTCTCTCTCTCTCTCTCTCTCTCTCTCTCTCTCGTTTAATAACACAAATAGGATACAAAAAAATAACAAATGCCACTCAAGGTAGAAGTCATAAGAACATACACAAACTCGTCTAAAAACATACTCTTTAAAATACAATACTCCAACACATTACAGAAATCAACTCGAAACCGTATAAATAATGTGCGAACTTCTAAAAATATTTCAACAACTTGATCAATATTTGTTATTTAACCTTATTGTCAACTTAATTTTACAATTAAACGAGTGTAGCTCTTTGAATTTGTAATGAACTTTCTAATATTTCACGAAAATATACATTTATAGCGTAGAATTCTTAAAATAACGTTTCATGTATGTTCTACTTCACATTTTATCTTCTGATCTATATGTAATTGTAATACATATGAAAGCCCTATTAATACATAATTTCTTGCCAATATTTTGATAAGCCCTGGTAGTTTTTCTTTAGTCCTTTGTTTTTCTTTCCATTCTGAAAATTCTAATTTTTGATTGTCTTTTAGAATCTTCTTACTTTCTTAATTTTACTATTCGTTGTAGATGTGATAATGACATTTTTCTAGCATGAGTATTCAGATATTGACTATAATGATATTTTGTAATATATTTCGTTTTGTGTCACATGATCGAATAAAGAATAAAATGCAGTAATTTAACCTTATTAAGTGGCCCCAGAGCTCCAGATAAGAATTCAACTATTGGGGTTTTTACCCTTGTATTTTTTAAGTAATTGAGTGAAATACTTTTCCAATTGCATTATGTATTCCAATTCACCCCTCAGGCTATTATCTTATTGGGTTTTTCACCACCAAGTTCATGGATGCATTGGGTTTTTTTTCCAACTCCAAGATATTGAAATTAATTTTGTTATGATGTAATGATGTAACCTCCACTGTTATCTTAAATATGTTTCTTTCATTATATGTTTGATTCAACCGTTCTGTCAGTTTTGTATTTTCTGTCAATTTTTTTAAACCTGGTGCCCCTAGTGGGGAAATAACTTATGACCTTTCTAGAGCAAGAAGTAGAAGATGTGCCAACGAGACAATTTCATCCAAGTCACAATTTGTAGATATAAACCATATATGAAGTTTTTAGATGTTAGTAGTATTTGGGGACTATATTCATTTTGTTGTCTTGCATTTCTTGCCATGGTGTTGTCAGTTTATATTATACTTAAGTTTTAAATGAGGTCAATTAGATAAATTCCACTTTTTTATACTTCATTGGAAAAGAAAGATACCAAGAAAGTAAGAAAAAAAACACTTAGTAACCGACTATGTGGTATTTGGTTTTGCTCATCGTTGAAAGCAGTACAGTGACCTGCCTCTGCTATAGGTGTTAACATTCATGTCATTTGGTCGTGGATAGAGAGTTTTTTCATTGGTAATTATACCACATGGATCTTATTTTATATTACAAGTACAGCAAATTTATCTATGGACTATGATGTGCTTAATCGACAAGTTTTCTATATACCAAGTTGGGTACTTTAGTCACTGTCACTGCAGTTCAGTACCAATTGTTAATACCTATAACAGGTATAAGATTTATTCAATATGATTCAAGCACAAAAAAATGCTAATTGAATTTAAATAAAATTCTTGGCAACACGAATATTTATTTTATTTCCATCTGTTTCTACCTGAAACAAAATTTTGGTTAATTATGTATTGTGATCATTGTCTCAGATTGTCAATTAAGAGGACAACTTTGGAATTTTAGACGGTCTTGGTTTGTACTGAGCATAAAGTCTCCCTCGACGTCGTTTCTTCTTGGTCATCCATAAACGAATAGATTGATAGGGATTGAATGATGTCGAAACTGGACCTAACATACTAATTTTCATCATAATGTTAAGTTGTATTTCTTTAAGAGATGCCCTATATTTACATTTAAGACGGTTTTGTGTACTAAAGCTTCTTTCACATTCTACGCTTGTCAGACTTAAGCATAGAGCTATCATTGCGAGCTTTGAAAATGCTGGCATGATGTCTTTGTGTAACAGTATAAGTCTTCTACAAAGTTGATAAGTGTCACATTTGGAGTATGCATCATTTATCATTCCTTTCAGTCTGATCCATTCCTCCTTCAGTTGTACTCCATCTATTAATGGTTCTACAATCTTTTCTTTCACTTCTGTTCCTTCAATAAGATTTCCTTCAACAATTTTGGTTTTCTTTTCCTGACCATAAAATTCAGAAAGTCTTTCAACAGCATTGTCAGTGTCTGTGACATCTGCGGCGATAACGCTCAGAGGTTCCAAAACCAAACTAAAATCTGTCAACAGATCTCCGTCCTTCCTGTGAAGTCTTTTCTTAATATTCTTAGACAAACTTTTTACATAGTCATCTCTGATTGTTTGAAATTCTTTATCCATGGTTGCTGAAAATGAAAGTTTCTCTCCCTTAAGCATTTTCTCATCTCCTGAAGTTTCAATCATTTTTTGCATTTCTAGTAGAGCTTCACCATCAGACACTTTCATGGTTTCAATTTTTGCAATTGTTCCTTCAATCAGGGGACGAATTTCACTAAACGACAAATTTTTCTTTTGGAAGCTACAGCTAAGTATACTTAGCTCTGTGTGAACGTCTAACATAAAAGCTGTTACTAGTACAACTTTGTAGGAACTGAAGTATTTATGCAATCCCTTAGCGACAGGTGATTTTTCAGCAGCAAATTTTGATAACGTTGATACTATCGAAGAGTAAGATTCAAAAACAGCTTCCACTGCATTTTTTAGGCCAAGCCACCTTACAGAATGAGGATCCTTAACTGACAGTTCTGGTTCATTTAATAATGATTGAATATTTTTTAAGGCAAAAACTCGATTTGCTGATGCAGTTATGAAATTGAATAAATTTGTGAATTTGTCTCTAAATTTAACCAAAAAGTCTTTCTCCTTAATGGAGTCAACACAAGCCAGGTTCAGTCGGTGGGCAACACAATGAGTTTGTAGACAATATGGTGCATATTTGCTTTTAATCTGCACACCTACCCCAGTTTTATGCCCTAGCATAACTGCTGCACCATCAGTGGCTAAAGAAACACAATTTTCTATAGAAATTCCTAAATTTGAAAATTCATAAAAAACACAATTTACTATTGTAATAGCACAACCATCATTTAAATGTATATTATTTAGAAAGGTTGTGATAGGTTCAGCATTTTTAACGTATCGGACACAAATAGACAGTCTTTTTTCCACCCCTATGTCAGTGCTCTCATCCAATATAACTGCATATATAGGTGATGATTTAATATCATTTACTATAACATTGGTGAGTGTTTTGGCAATACAAGACTGAATTTCGGAAATAGTGTCCCAGCTTAAATTTGAATATTTGCATTCAAGTCCGTTTTTCTTTTGTAAGTCTAACAATCCATTGACATTGGTTGTTGGCATTTCATTTTTCGATGCATGGTAAATTGTGTTGAATAAAATTTTATCATCATTTATAAGGGTGAACTGTGAGTCAGAATCTGTTTCAATCACATCACATTCAATATCCGAGTCAGTTTTAGTAATTGGGAAATTTTTATTGATAATATCCAAGTGCTCGGCACTCTCGTTATGTCTTATAACTGCTGAGAGTTGAATATTTGAGGTCCCTTCATGGCCCCAAACGCTCGTTATGTTTTTGTCTCTTGTGGCAGATTTACATTCATTGCAAAATATATATGCGACCCCCGATTTATCGACTTTTTGTAGCCAAGTATACTTTTCTTTCCAGGAGAAGAAGGTCTTATCTGACACTGTGTGTCTTTGTTTTTTGCTAGTATTTTCATTTGATGAAGAAACGGCATCGTTAATTATTTCGTTTATTATGTCATATGTAAACGGAGTTGTAGCCTCCTCCACTATAGTATTAATAATTTGGCGTGCATACTTCTGTGCCTCCGCATGGCGGTCTGTTGTCATATAATTCAAAAGACTGTAAGATTTTGCAACTAGTGGTGCTTTTTTTCTGCCTCGCCGACTCATGTTTTCTGAAATAAATTTTATCAACTGGTCCCTTATGTTTACCGGGGATACAGTTTTTAGCAACGGACACTTCATCAAGTATAATCTGTGATCGTAGTTCTGTCAATCAAGATGCAGATGCTACGCTCTATTTATAGAACGGAAGTAGAATTCCCTCAGAGAATTCCTGTTATAAATATTACACAAATAGATTTACGCGTCAACATTTCATTGATAAGGGTAAATAACGCACTCGACAGCGACTAAAAGGGTTGAAAACGCATAGTTTTGACATATAATTGGGTTTTTCTCTGAATGAATTGGGTTTTTGAACGCAGCAATAGTCATTTGTATTGGGTTTTCCATTGTTTTTATTGGGTAATCACGCAAATACGCAACTTATCTGGAGCTCTGACAGTGGCACTTTATTATTTTTATAAAACTCAATGAACCTCTTATGTAATACACACGAAGTATTTTGTTTTAAGGTTTTTATGTTTGAGGTACCTAAGTATCAATTTATTACTAGACCAATTTATTTCGAGATGCTATTGTTATTGCAAGTAATCATTTATCAAAGACAGAATAGTGGTTTCTTATTTCCCACTTTTAATTGTGGTATCATTGGGATCCAATGTATAGTAATTTTTTCTTAAGAAAAATCGCACATAGGTAAACAATTAATACTGTCCTAATTCAAGATATGATTTTATTATTTATGTTAACCGCAACAAATGGTTTGTTACCCTGGTGACATTTATGTTATATGGAATGACAAAATACATGAATGGAAATAAGTTATTAATTACATTAACTAAAACAAGGTAATGTGTGACAATACGTCATAGAATACATTATAAATAGCTATGACAAAAATGTGTGTTGTTTGGCATATTTTCTCATTTTTACTATTTCCTTGTGAAAATTACTATATATACTAAGCTAATTTCCCCAGATCTAAGCAAAACTTGCAAACAAGTCTCAACACCAGTCAAATTCAAGGTAACTGTTTATTCATGAGTAGAAAGCAGGAGTCAATGCATTTTTTTTAAATTTCTATAACATAACATTTCGCATCGCTAAACTACAGTATGTCAAATTCGTATTAAGGAAAAAAGTAAAATAACAAAAATACCGAACTCCGAGGAAAATTCAAAACGAAAAGTCCGTAATCAAATGGAAAAATTAAAAGCTCAAACACATCAAACGAATGGATAACAACTGTCATATTCCTGACTTATGTAGAAAATTATGTGGATTAAACCTGGTTTTATAGCTAGCTAAACCTCTCACTTGTATGACAGTCGCATAAAATTTTATGATATTGACAACAATGTGTGAACAAAACAAACAATATGTGCACGCTGACATACATATAATTAACGTGTGTGTAATATTAATTATACAAGATCTATACATCACCTCTAGTCTTTGATATGTTTCGTGTTGCCCAGTCTTTAGTTTTTCTACCTTTTGTTTTGTACACTGCTATTTGTCGTTTGGTCTGTTTTGATGCCATATCATTATCAATTTGTTTTTGACTTGTTTGGTTATTCCTCCTCTCTTCTACAATTACATATTTTGCGGAGAGTTAATACAATCATATACGTGTTTAAAATGATTTTCAATGCGGGCAGACACTAGGACTGTCAATATTGGATAAGAATATGTTAAAAGCGTGTAAAACGATATTAACATTTTATAAACATTTACTAACATGCTAAAATATAATTTTAAATCTTTCTTTAATACATTTGAGTACAATGACAAGACACATTTTTAATATCAATATCGGGTAATAGACATTTATAAGAAAGAGGTCGATATCACCGAAAAATATGCGTAATCCATCTAATCTGAATGTTTGTAATAACATTAATGGATCCAATATTACTGCAACAGATATGCATATCGAAAATAGACGTCTCTTCACTGATGTTCGATTCCTAACTAAATATTTTGAAAATCCGATTCCAAATAAAAACGTCGAAAATAACACAAAAAAGGACCAAGAGTATAACCAAATGTGTAGAACGAAACAGTGGAAAAACAGAAAAGTTCATCCAAACAATAACTGTCACAGTCGATGTCACGAAATTTAATTAAACATTACAGTTACTCATGTCACTTTTGTATGCTATTTGTTTAGAATTTAAGTTGAACTGTTTCATTTTATTTAGTTTAAAAAATATTTATTCCGATAAATCAACACTTAACGTTATAACACACTTGAAATAGATATCTAGGATTCAGAAACAAGCAAAATCGCTTTTATAAATCTGTCTCCTAATAAAATGTAGTACCCCAATAATACACTTAGTGAGCAATACATCTACACTACTAAAGGACCGATTTCATTGAGCCGCATCTCCTCTGAAACCATACAAAGTCGGAAATATTTGTGATATAACGTATGAATGTAGTGTTTTGTTCTTCCTAAATTTGTCTTTGAAACAATCTTTTTTCTACAGAAAACGCCAATTTTTTAAAAAATATTTAAAGTCGGAGACCGTTATCGATCCGTGTCTTATACGTTTCCGCGCATGTTCAGTCGACGTACTGCCCGCAATATTTAAAAACTCTTTGTTTCAACACTTTCCCAATTGTACCGCGATTTTGCAGGCATCTTCTAGTAAATATGAATATTTGCATGCTCTACAATAAATACATAAATATGAAATAATTGAAAAATATTATAAATAAAAATGTATAAACATGAAATTTTGTAATAATAACAGTGTAAAATGCTTGAGTTCTTATCGGATGATGCAGCAGTAACATCAAGGGTTACAACGTTTGCTTTTGATAATGTATTTCTGCACCAAACTAAATAAGTGACTTGTTTTGTTCGTCTGAGAGTACCGTTGAACTAAAAAGCAAAATATTTTTATTTGGCTATCATCATTTTTGGGGATTTAAGCTGTAAAGTAATAAAGTTATTTATAATGCCAGTCTACAATACTAACGGTTATTATGTTTTTCAGTCAGTAAGTCCTCCCTTTGTCTGCACATAATCAGGATAAAGTCTTAGTTTAAGATCATTTACTATTCCCTTCTGGTCACACCAACTTGAAACTTTGTGCAAAGCTCATAACAATGTCAGATTGTAAAGACATAATGATAAATTGATCTTTAAAATATGATATTCTGTTCGGGGAGGAGGTTCAAGTGGACACAAATGCATGATTTTGTATTAGAAGGTGTAACAAGTAAAATAACATAGATACCGAACTCCAAGGAAAATTCAAACCGGGTAGTCCCTTATTAAATGGCAAAAGCAAAAGCTCAAACACATCAAACGAATGGAAAACAACTGTCATATTCCTGACTTGGTACAGACATTTCCTTATGTTGAAAACGGTGGATTAAACCTGGTTTTATAGTCAGCTAAACCTTTCATTTGTATAACAGTCGCATAAAATTCCATTATATTGACAACAATGTGTTCACAAAACAACAGATATAATAGGTAAAAATGCTAAATATGATAATGTATATGTACACTAAAGAGATTTATCCTGCTGAACTGACTTTAAATAAAGCTAATACTAACAATGAACACTGCCCTTTCCTGGATCTTGATATCTATATCTTTAACGAGAAGCTTAATACGAAAATTTATGATAAAAAAGATGATTATTCATTTCCTATTGTTAATAATCCATTCTTAGATGGTGACGTTCCTTTGTCACCATCTTATGGTGTTTATATTTCTCAACTTGTACGATTCGCTGGTGTATGTAACAACGTATTTGATTTTAACGAAAGAAACCTCTGTATTACTGAAAAATTATTACACCAGGGTTTTCGATATCACAAACTAGTCAAAACATTTACTAAATTTTATCATCGGTACAAGGACATCATTCGTAATATTAAATCAACATGCAGATATCTAATACGTTCAGGTACTTCACATCCAATCTTTTATGCTAATTTTCTATACAAAACACAAAAATGTCGACATCCACCTCCAAAGCTAACCAAACCTTTAAACAGACTTATTCAGAAGGGATTTAGTTACGATACTGTTGTCAGGTCATTAAAGATGGCATATGTTTGTATTAATATTGATTCACTCATATGGTCTTTGTATCGGAAAAAAACTCTTTCTTCTAAAACCAGTTGTTGGCATAAGACGGGTTATGTTCTTCTCATATATTTTATGGCGGTATAATACTAAACCCCTAACGGGAGGGATTGTGCTTGATTTTCATATGATGAAGACATAATCTTTTAATCAGTTTAATTGAGGTCTGGAGCTGGCACGTCAGTAACTGCTAGTAGTCCTTTGTTCATTTATGTATCATTGTCATTTTGCTTAGTTTATTTTGTTACTTATTCTGACATTGGACTCGGATTTCTTTTAAACTTAGTTTTACTGTGCGTATTGCTGAGTGTTTATTTATTCTACATTGGCTACAGGTATAGGGGGAGGGTTGAGATCTCACAAAACATGATTAACCCCGCTGCATTTTTGCGCCTGTCCCAAGTCAGGGGGCTCTGGCCTTTGTTAGTCTTGTATATTTTTAATTTTAGTTCATTTATATGTTTTGGAGTTTAGTGTGACGTCCATTTTTATTGAACTAGTATACATTTTTGTTTGGGGGCCAGCTGAGGCCTGCCTCCGGGTGCAGGGTTTTCTCGCTGTGTTGAAGACCCATTGGTGGCATTCAGTTGTTTTCTGCTCTTTGGTTGGATTGTTGTCTCTTTGACACATTCCCCATTTCCATTCTCAATTAAAAAAAATTGGTACAGCAGTCAACATTGTGTTATAAACGTAATCACTATAAAAGCAAATAAATATGTCAACAAAGAAAAAAAATGGCATTAAGACAAAGCACATAAGCAAAAATGAAAGACAAGAATACAAAAAAAAAAAAAAATTACCACAGCACAACAGCATCTTGGCGGGATGCATATGTACCGATCCACGCCAAAAGGATAATACCAAAAATAGTCTAAACAGTACAGGTTAATAATTTACAAAGACATATCAAAAAACACTATAACACGTAATT